TCTACCTTTAATAAGTGAGCCTTTGAAAGTCCTTTTATTACTTTTAGTACAAGCACAGGACTCTTCGAATCTTCAATATTCAGCAAAGATCCGGATGAAGTATAATATAAACGAGAAATTTCACCAACTGGAATCCGTTTTATTTTGCCTGGAATACACTGTGAATGTTTTCCGAGCTTAGCTTCTTCTGCAAGTTGTTTTGCAGGGCAATCATTATCAAATTCTTCATGATATCTTCCATCATTTAAATCTTCAACAATTATCAATTCATACATGTACTCTCTTCTTTCCTCATTTTCTTTAACATCATGAACTCGATATAAAGCAGCATCGCATTTTGAGAATTCTTCTTTCCACGTAAAATCATTTACAGACTTGGGACGAACAGAAGCTGTAAACATGTAGTATAATTTTAATTTATATCCAGGTCCAACTCGTATCTGTTTGCTACTTTTTGAAAATAGGCGATTTGCTTCACGTAACGCATCTGACGCTTGAAGTAGACGAGAGGGACTGGTAGAGTTTGGTAAACTCCACCCTAAATTCGCACCACTAGTTGTCATCATTAAATTTAAATATGGTACAAATTTCTCAATCTTTTGTGTTAAAGCTTGCATTTCATTAATAACTTTGGATGCATTGAAGAATTGTTTTTTATCCGTTGACTCCGTTTCAGACAAATTATATTCAGAAAGACTACGTGCAAATGACTCAATCTCTTTACGTAATAGCGTTGTTTGAGCAGCTGTTGGTTCCAAAGCCGTGTTTCCGCGTGCAGATATAATTTCAATTAGATCTATAGCAGGTTGAACCATTCGAATCGTGGCTTCAAGTGTCTTAGGTGTTTATACGAAATAAAGACAGACTCAGTATATAAGTGTTGGAAGGCATTATAATAGCGTAATAAAACTATAAACATACCGCTTTGACACGCTCAAGTTCCTCCAATTCGACGTTTTGTGTATTAGAAGCGTCGCGTTTGATATACTTTGTAACTTGATTCTTTAAATATGAATAGAGTAGTCAAAAACGCGTCAAAGCAAGGAAAATTGGCAAACAAAAAACCTTTTAATGATACCATGGCATAGTTTGTACTATAGGCGAACGCCGCCTTGCCGACCTATAAAACAATAGTTATAATGGATTTAGCCAGTATCGGCTTGCCAAATAACGGATAATGACCATTTGAAAAGTTACTTACAAAGGTGGCAGTATGCAAGGCTAATTTTGTCAATATTTCGTCCATTTTGAAAAGTAAAGTATTTAAGTACAAGCTTTATAATTTTCAGAGAGAATATTAAGAAGACATCGTTTAAATTTTTAAGTGTAGTACGAATATCCTGTCTTCCGAAATCATGTGATCATATAAAGTTACGCTTAAGTTATATTTAAATAGCGATAGGGACCTGAATCTCAGCATATCTTATTCACCTTTTCTCTTACTCTAATATATACCTAAAAGCCAACAATGGCCACTTTTAAATTCTGTTCACAATGGTAAACTTACTCACATGGAAGATATATATGCTTATATGTATCACTGATATTTAACATGATCCAAATTCCACAGTAGTAACTTGTTATACCCAAGAGAAGATAAAGACACTCAACGACTTTTATATGCATGTCGTAATTGCATTTATCAGGAAGAAACAAAGAATTATTGTGTTTATAGAAATGAAATTTCAAATGTTATTAGGTAACGATAAATTCTTTATACTGTAAATTATTGAATGCATATACTAACTCCATTATTTATTTTCAAGTGAGAAAACAACGATAATTAAAGATTTGGCTGCTGATCCATCTTTGGCAAGTAAAATTACTTTTAAAACATTTCATGCTTCTTTTTTATTGTAATAAATTAACTTATTCTTGATACAAGACAGGCACGTACAGAAAAAACATGTTCTCAATGTGGATTTACTGTAGCGGTATACTTTGAAGCACAATCTCGTCGTACTGACACAAAAATGACATTATATTATGCTTGTGGAAATATTAATTGCGGATATCGTTGGACAGATTTTGATAATGATAATACGGACTTTCATGCTATACAGGATGAAGAATATGATGACCAGGATTATTTGGGTAGAGAAGACTATGATGTACCTAACCAAAT